AACTTCGTGCACCGAAATTTATGCGTTTTCCACCGATTAATTTGCAGATTATTGAATTATACAATTCTACAGGGTTGTTTGTTGCACCAATCAACAAACTATCGGAAAAACAGCTCAAGGACTTGATAATATTTTTAACGTCTTTATAAAGACCGTAACTTTGTAGACGTAGTACGTAATTGTTTTCATTTTCATTATGTACACATGAACGTCCTCGTTCGGTGCATTGCTTATGGTCACCGAAAATGTGGCTAAGAATGTTTAATAAATCTTTTTGTAATTCCTTTTCTTTCTCATGCATTGGTTGTTGTCCTTCTCTTCGTGCTACACATAAATGGAGCACTTCTTTGCGTAGTTTTAATATATTACTTTTCACTACATTTCTGTGTTTTATAAACTCATGGTTTCGAAGCATTCCCGCCTTACTTGTCTCTGCTACGTGTCGTAATTTCTTGCAGAGATTACGCAACAAATGATTTGTGCATTCTATTTTTTTAACTATTACATTATAGTGCTGATATGGTTTATTATCTAATATGGACTTATATACACAGCTGTCACCATCAGCAATAACTGTCCTATAAATCAATCCATGCATTTCAATATTATTGCTGAAACCTTCTACAATAGCATCGCTCTCCATGCTTGAGGAGCTCGCATTGCGGTCAAAATTTTTAAAGCATTGATGATTTTTTGGCTCGCGATCTCGTTGCTCCGCCATATAACAAACAGAGCAAAATTTGTTGCGGATGCCGAGAAAAAGGACTTTTTGTGTTCAATAACCAATAATGGCACCAACACTAGAAAATGAATCGTAGTTAGTGCCATACGATCTCTTCATCCAACTCGCGTCCGCTACAACTGTTATATACAGAATACCGGAATCGGTGATTTCGTTTCTTTGAAAAGCAAATCGCTTTTCAATTTCGCCAGACATTTTCATATTTGCAACGTTTGCTTTTTGAAACTCACCGACTAAACTCTCACGATATTTGATATACGTTCTTTCTGACATACTATAAATATTCATAGCTGCAGTTCTTCTAGTTAGGCAAAACCTATTCCAGCTGTAATAGTTCCAGCTGTAGCAGCTTTATTAATGTCCATTTTACTTCCGGGTTCCGACGATATTGTTCTTTCAGTTAAACAATTCTCGCATTTAAATGTAAACAGCGTTCGGAACTCATAGCGGTTAGAGCTACTAAGCTTAATATTTTTAAATTTGCATCTTACTCCTCTTTGATGGTTTTTGTAAAAATTTTGGATTTCTTTCCAAAAGAATGCAATATCGACAATGAGACGGTCTTCAGAGTAATTTTCTTGGATATTATTTGCATTTACATCTTGATTTTTTGGTACTCTTTCAACAATCAAAGGTGGCAAATCATACTCGCAATCTTTGCCATTGTAATGTTCATCTGGAATTTCTTTCAGGGTAATGTTCATATGTGCTTTCTGAGAATCTATTGAGATCTCAGGATTTTGTACTTGCAAACTTGTCGTTTCCTCGACAACGTATTCAATGCTTAGATTTTGAGAATCACTACTGTTCTCAAGATTTTCAACGTCCTCACATACAAGTTTTGTAATGACATTTATACTTTTATTCTGAGAATCAAAATTCTCAGAAGTTTCTACAAGCATATCTGGAATTTTTTCTAGGGTAATGTATTTACTTTCATTCTGAGAATCAATCGAGATCTCAGGATTTTGTACATGCAACCTTGTCGTTTCCTCGACAAAGTGTTCTAAATTAACATCTTGAGAATTACCACTACTGTTCTCAAGATTTGATACATGCTTACTTAAAATTTTTTCCGTGGTTTTACCTATAATTTTTTCCTGAAAATCAAAATTTTCAGGAATGTCTACATGCATATATATCTAGAATTTCTTCCAAGATAATGTACTTACTTTCATTCTGAGAATCAATCGAGATCTCAGGATTTTGTACATGCAACCTTGTCGTTTCCTCGACAAATTGTTCTAAACTACCATTTTGAGAATTATTATTACTGTTCTCAAGATTTGCTACATACTTTCTTAGAATAATATCCGTGGTTTTCTCTATAGTTTCTTCTTGAGACACAAAATTCTCAGGAGGTTTTACATGTATACCTGGAATTTCTTCCAGGAAATTGGTAATACTAACTGTATGACAATCAGTATTTTTCAACGATTTTTTTATCTTTTTTGGCCTTCTTTATTTTGCGTCTAAAAAACAAATAAAAACTTTACTAATTATAATAACATGAAAAAGTAGTATTAACTTCGATATTTTTGAACATATTTCAAAACAGTTGAAAAGAGCCAATATGAACCTCCGACACAGTTGTTGATGTATAAATATATTTTTTTATTTCTTAAAATTTACGTTTAATTCCTAACTGAAATTCTAAATGAAATCATCTTCATAACACAAAAACAATTTCCTCTACAAAAAGTACTACTAAATATACTATTACATAGTGTTCTTCGAAAATGTTATTTTGAAAGAAGAAAAGAAAAAAAAATAAATAAAATTATTAATTAAAACGCACACAAACCAAAATTAAAATTAATTTAAAAAATATGTCACATAATTTGTCAAAATTTCGCACCATTGTACTCAATAAGGTGGCAAATTGTAGCATTGTTATGAAAAAACAAATTACTGCAAATAAATAAACAAATCAATCAATTAATAAAAAATAAAAACATGTTAGAAAATTTTTTTAAGATACACACCATTTATCATAGAACAAATTATAATAATTAAAGAAAACATTGGTAACATACATACTGTTACCATATGGATACATTGTTAACATACATATCTTGTTAACAATAAAAAAACTGAAACTTACATTTACATATCAACTACTGAATTTCATAGTAATCCTTTAATTTCTGTGTTGAAAAAAAAAATATATATTAACAATTAATGATAAATTGAGATTACTCTCAGGCTCTATAAGTCTTATTAAAATAATAATATCTGAATACAAGGACGTTAAGAGCCGTTCACAGGATGTTATGCGTGAATGTGCTATATATATATGTGCGTGTATGCACATATAAACGAATTCACGTTTTCACGTGTTTTTTGAATTGAAATTTTAATTCATAAAAGCATACAGGATGCTATACTTGCATCTCATGTATGAAAGACCCCATATACCTCCCGAACTAATTTTAAACTATGGCAAAAAAAAACTCAGCCAGAAGTCAAACCTGGAATCTCCGGCTTTCCGGGCCGTCGCCTTCCCTGTTAGGCCACCGAGGCACTTGGAGTTTGTCTCGCAACATTTTGTATATCTATCATTATGATCAGATCTGTTTAATACCGCTTCTTTCTCCAGCGTAAATTCTAACAATTAATGATAAATTGAGATTACTCTCAGGCTCTATAAGTCTTATTAAATTAATAATATCTGAATATAAGGACGTTAAGAACCGTTCGCAGGATGTTGTGCGTGAATGTGCTATATATATGTGTGCGTGTATGCACAAAACACGTGAAAACGTGAATTCGTTTATATGTGCATACACGCATATATATATATAGCACATTTACGCACAACATCCTGTGAACGGCTCTTAACGTCCTTGTATTCTGATATTATTAGTTTGATAAGACTTATAGAGCCTGAGAGTAATCTCAATTTATCATTAATTGTTAGAATTTACGCTGGAGGAAGAAGCGATATTAAACAGATCTGATCATATTGATCATATAGATATACGAAATATTGCGAGACAAACTCCAAGTGCCTCGGTGGCCTAACAGGAAAGGCGACGGCCCGGAAAGCCGGAGATTCCAGGTTCGACTTCTGGCTGAGAAGTTTTTTTCGCAATATTTTAAAATTAGTTCGTGGGGTATATGAGGTCCTTCATACATGAGATGCAAGTATAGCATCCTGTATTATTTTATAAATTAAAATTTCAATTCAAAAACCTCACGTTAAAAACGTGAATTTGATTATATATGTGTACACACGCATATATATATAGACATATTTCCCGCATAACATCCAGCGAACGGCTCTTAACAACCAATCATTCATTTATTAGTTTATAAAATTTAAAATCTAGTGCCATGTTTGCATAAATTCTTTGGACTTGTCGCTCCGCAGAAAATTCTCCTGCTCGCCGCATCTTTGTGAGCAGCTCTGTCGAGTACGTCTTAAATGGCTCATTTTGACGTTGTTTTCTGTTGTGCACCTCTGTAGCGAGTTGTTCCCGAAATGTAGGCGACAGATATTGCCAAAAGAACTGCAGAAATTGCTGCCATGTATTGAAAAACATCTTGCTATTTCGATGCCATACCAGTGCGTCTCCACGTAGCAAAACCGGCAAAAATTTCAACAGGATTTCATCCGGGAAACCGGCCGCTTCGGCTAATTCCTCGACGTGTTCGAGAAAATTGAGCGTCTTTCCCGTCAAAATACACTCCCCTTTTGTGCAGTTGGCTCAATGCTTTCCCTGCGTCGATAGCGGGTGGAACGGTGACAGGCGGACAAAGGATTTCGTCTGCGCATCCCTGCGCTCCTGTGTATGCCGGATTTTCCCTGACGTACGCCCTCAATCTTTGGCGCAGGTCCTCTATCGTTCCCGTCGAGTTAATTTTGAGGTATCTTAATTTGCTAATTAATTGCTCTTTTGAAAGCTTCTGGATGCATGCTGCCATGGCTACAAACAAATCTTTTTAAAAAAAAAAACAAAAGACTGACAAATCTTTTAAAAAAAAACAAATATTTTAAAAAACAACAGACAGTGACATAAAACTAAATCCCAAATCTAAAAAAACTTATAGGTTTCGATATACTACTGTGATCAAAAAGTAAGGTGAAATTGTCATTTAAAACTCCCGGGCATTAGAAAGGCAGGTAATTTTTTTTTCCTAGGTTGGTAGGACTGTCTATAATATTTGCTAAGCGTCTGTTTTTCAAAAAGTTTAATTATCTCCGAGTTACACGTGTTTTTGTAAACAATCAAAAGTGAATTTTTTGATTTTTACAATGGGTGATTTTGTTGAGCAAGGAACTTGCATCAAATTTTGTTTGCGGAACGAATATTCTTGTGCGGACACGTTGAAAATGTTGCAGAAGGCCTTTGGTGATCAAACTATGGCACAAAAAAACGTTTATAAGTGGTACAACGAGTTCAAAGCGGGCCGAGAACGCGTTGAAGACGAACCACGCTCTGGACGACCATCAACGTCTACCGACAAGGGCCACGTCCAAAAAATCAAAAATTTGGTGCTTGCAAATCGTCGATTGACAATCAGAGACCTCGCTGATAGTGTTGGAATATCATTTGGCTCAGCCCAAACCATTTTGAAGGATGTTTTGTGTCTGAAACGCGTCAAATCTCGATTGGTGCCAAAATCGCTCAATTTTTTGGAAAAAAAGTGTCGCGTTGATGTTTGTGAAACTTTGCTGTCTGAATATCAGGACCACTTGAAATGCATCATTACTGGAGACGAGACTTGGATTTACGCATACGACCCTGAAACCATCGACCAATCCAGTAAATATTGTGCAAAAGATGAAGCAAGACCGAAAAGACCACGGCAAAGTCGATCGAAAATCAAGGTTATGTTGACAGTTTTCTTTGATTATCGTGGTGTGGTGCACTATGAATTCTTTCCGCCGGGCTAAACTGTCAACAAAGAATATTATTTAAACATTATGCGTCGTTTGCGTGAAGCTATTCGTCTGCAACGGCCGGAATTATGGGCGAACAACTCTTGGTTCCTTCATCACGATAATGCAGCGGCTCACACTGCATTGGTTCTTCGCGACTTTTTTGCCAAAAAGTCGACTCATATCGTTCCGCAACCACCGTATTCGCCTGATTTGGCTCCGTGCGACTTCTGGCTATTCAGCAAACTCAAAAGGCCAATGCGGGGACGCCGTTTTGACACGATTGAGGAGATAAAAACCGAATTGAAGAAGGTCTTGAAGGCTATACCGAAAAAAGACTATTCCGACTGTTTCGAGGACTGGAAAAAGCGTTGGCATAAATGCATTGTATCTGGGGGGGAAGGGATTATTTTGAAGGAGATGAAATTGATTTGGATGAATAAATAAAGAATTTACATTTTATAAACAACTTCACCTTACTTTTTGATCACAGTAGTACTGTACTCGATATACTGTCGCGAGTTACATCTGCGTAGTCACTCTGGCCTGCCCTAGATCAAAACTGTTCGGGCGCCATGTAACGGTCCGACTTTTTAAAGTTTTTGGTTTATTTTATTATTTAGAATTTAATATTTTATTGCGGAATAACCCGCCGGATCAGGGTTCTTTAAAAAAAAACTCAGAGTGAGTCAGAATTTATATTAAAACAAAAACGGTTAATTTATTCAAGAACAACAAAAAAACATAATATTGTTGCGCCCGCGGGGCGCGGAGCCGTTCTCGAGGGACGCCGATACTCGCGTGCGCGGACGCGGCAATGACAAAGGCGCACTTTCTTATGAACACACTTTATTTCGTTACAAATACAGCGTTAATTGCCCGTTACACGAATCGTCGAGACGCGCCGTGACAGCTCCGCGGTCGCGATTTTGTTCTTCTCTTCTCTTCTATTTAACAAACCGTCGTCGCCCGGTAACCGACAGTCGCGCCGATCGCGCGCCGTTCACGCAGCTCCCGCGACACATACGCGGTGACACCCGCGTAACAATATAAAAAAGAAGAAAAGAAAGTAAAACAATCAGTATTAAAAACAAATAAAATCAGAAAAATATTTAAAAAGAGTTCCGGTGTATGTTTTACCTGTACGATGCGGTCGGTGGCCCGCTGCGTACCGTTACGGGCCTTCGCTAGAGCGATGCTAGCGGCAGCGGTTCAGCGGCGTCAACGCCGCGACGCTCGGACTCGGCGTGCCGGTGGCGGTCGTCGGATTGGTTACCGTAACGGAGGCTCTCGGCCTCGCAGGGCGGTTTTCCCGGCAAAGAGAATGTAAAATTCTCCCTGAGCGGAGCGGATGTCGGTTTCCCCAGCGGAGAATAGAAATACTTCCCGGACAGAAGTGAGTGCCGGTTTTCCCGGCGGAGAATCAAAATATTCCCTGGTGCGGATAAGATGCCGGTTTATCCGGCGGAAAATACTAATATTCCCCGGACTGGAGCGGATCGGATGCCGGTTTCTCCGGCAGAAAGAATACTCTTCTCCCTGAGCAGAGCGGATCAAATCTTGAGTTGCGTGTCGGTTTTTCCGGCCGAGGAAGAGCTTCCCTTGGTGCTGCTCAGACATGCTGCAAAACTTGGAAATCGAAGCGGATCTGATCTCCGTGCTTTTTGGCCCGCCTTTTATACTGGCACATCTCCGGATGTTTGTCGCCAAATTGGAAGGAGCGGGGAAAAACGACACGCAGGGAACAAAGAAATTGTTTTCGCCGTATGACGCTTCGTGGCGCGGGGCGACGTGCGGTGCGGACGGCACGCATGCAGCGTGTATCTAATACACGCTGCAAGTTTAATAGTTTTATTTGGAGCTAAGCGCCGTTTTGGGCCGGGACAGATGGTCGGTCCCGGCAGCGTCGTTATATTGTCTCCAATCACAAAACGTTGGAGATCCACGAATATTGGTATGTTCACCGAAGAACGCAGCAAGCTGGACATTATCGTCGTTGACGTTGACAAAACGTGCGACATCGTTGGTTTGACCGAGACTGATGACTGCTCTAAACGATTCGTCGCACGACGCTAGTCAGCGGATTGTTTTCAACAATACGATGGTGTATGATCAGACAGTACGCGGTTGTATTGGAGAGTACATTTTTTTTGTTGAATTCGATGGAAACGTTTACGGTGGCGCTCTTTACCGTTTGGTTTGGTGTTGCAAACAGTCGATGAGCGATCCGCAGTAGATGAACTTGTTTAATGTTAGAAGCGTCTCGTCCTCATTGCGTCCTGTTACGTCCTCGGATTAACAGGAGCTGATGACCGTTTCGGGATGCTCCACGGTCAGGGAGAACTTTAGTGTTTCTTGGGAATTACTTAAAACTTTTCACCGTCGCAAAAGCCACATTTAAAAACGAATTTTACTACACCAATATTTTTATTACACCTTGCACACGGAATACGGCCTGCTATGGTATACAAAAGAGTTATAATTGTATGATACTGAAAGATTTCAACTGGTTTGAACGTTCTTACTATATCAGTGCATTCCTGACATAGCACGTGATCTGAAGGTACTGTAAATGATCCGCGCATCAAGTTGCACGTCATTACTTTAACCGATTCGTCTTTATTCTATAAATTCCGACGAAATTAGTAAAGTAGATTGAGAGCACTTGGAACAATATAACTCATTTGTTAAAACGCGGATTTTAGCTGTTACTCGTCTGCATTTGCTCAGGTTATATCGCTGGAGGTAATTGAGGGCCGGTGATAAATAGACAAGACTCTTGTTAATCAACGGTTTTGGTTTACACAGTTACTACTATGAGCTACTTAGTACAAAATTAATTTGACAATGCTTAAGTTTTAGAGTTTATAACAGAGTAAAAAAGTACAGAACTTGACGACATTTCGCGATGTACGTGCTATAACGAGGATCTGTTTTAAGAATCAAATTAAGAAAGGCAAATAAGAGCCAATATACTGGATGTATTTGTATGTATACTTTACTTAGTAAACCAACCGTTTCAACCCATAGTTCGGATCTTCTTCAGTGGTTAACTAATAACAAATTATAGGAAAATTTATAAAAAAGAACTTTTTACAGAATTAAAAAATTCTGTACAATCAACAGTTGTAAATGCCCAGAAAACATGTGAGAAACTCACCATAATTTATAAAGGTACATAATTTTGAGAAAGAAGTGTGGTGAAAACGATCGTCGTCTATTATTATAAAAAAAACAAAAAAATTTCCGGTCTGGAAAGCCGGAGATTCCAGGTTCGACTCTTGGCTGAGGAGTTTTTTTTTGCAATATTTTAAAATTAGTTAGGGAATTATACGGGGTCCTTAATATACAGGGTGTCCGGAAAATTGCGACAAATATTTCGGAACGTGATTTGGGACCTCAAAAGAAGGAAAAAAAGCTATATAAACATAAGTCCGGAAATAAGTCGTTTCCGAGTTTCAGCCACTTTTATGTTAAAAAAAATGTATTTTATATTCCGCGTGGCAGCCCTTTTTAAATTTTTTATTAAATTTCTAATTTTTTTAATTTTTAAATTTTATTGTTTTTTTAAATTATTAATTATTTTTTTATTTTTTTTTATTTTTTGGTATTTGTAAATACATTATTTTTTAAATCAAGGATAAACATGAATATGTATTTAAATCAAATTAAATAAGGTGTTCAAAATGACCACTTTCAGCACGAATGCAGGCCCTTATTCTCTTATCAAAAGAATTTCGAACTTTATGACAAACATTTCGATCCGTCTTCGCTTCTCGGAATCCACGAATTATTTTTTGTCTTAAGTCAGCAATATTATTGGGCGCATTTTTGTAAACAATTGACTTTACGTGACTTTATAGATAAAAATCAAGTGGATTCATGTCTGCTGATCTTGGGGGCCAGACAACCGGACCTCCACGTCCTATCCATCTCTGACCATAATTTTGATTCAAATAATCTCTGGCTACACGGCTAAAATGCGCAGGTGCACCGTCATGCATGAACCACANGTTTTGTCGTATTATTAAAGGGACGTCTTGAATAAGGTTGACTATCTGTTCTCTAAGAAATCGTACATAATTCTGACCATTTAATCTCTCTTCAAAGAAATGTGGCCCTATAAGTTTGTCACCAATAATACCCGCCCATACCGTGCAACTAAACTGTTGTTGATGCCTCTTTTGATCAATTACTTTAGGATTTTCTAAAGCCCATTTATGAAGGTTGTGATAGTTGAAAATTCCATTTCTGTCAAAGCCTGCTTCATCAGTAAATAGAATATTTTCACAAAAATTCGGATTTTTATCTATTCTGTTTACAACCCATTGACAAACTTGCAAACGGGGACCATAATCTGCAACAGAAAGGCCTTGAACTCGTTGCACGTGATATGGATACATTGAGTTTCTTGATAAAATGTCCCATATCGTTGATTTTGGTACTCCGATTTCATCCGAAACTGTTCTAACACTAGTAGAAAGGACACGCTCAAATTGTTCAAGTACTTCTTCTTTCGTTACAACATTTACTCTAGGTCTGCCCTCACTTGTTCTCTTTTTTAATGTACCGAATTCTCTCAAGGTTCTGTCTACATTTTGGAAAGATTTATCTGTCGGTACATATCGATTTNGAAAAGACTGGGCATATAATCTTCNTGCTTCGGTANCATTACCTTGAGCAAGACCATACATAAGATGCATATCAGCTAATTCATTAAAACTCAAACGATCCATTGAATACAGATAGATTAGGTACAATCTCAAAGTACTTAGGATAAAAAAGGTGTTGCTAAATAATAATTTGAAACTTATTGAAAACTGT